TCAAATCCTTCATTGTGATGATATTCAGTATGTGCAGCCAGTTAAAAAAAAAAAAGGGGTGGGCTCCAAATAGCACACACACATTTACACACACTGGATGTTTCATCTACATATACCGGAAAATTGAGACACCATATAAGAATGAGAAAAGAATCAAATTTCATCCGAGAATTTTAAAGTATCTCATCTCTGTGAAATGGTGGGAAAGTCTCATTTTGATGTTTCAGTTTTGTGACATCATGACAGGTTAAAAACTGTTGTACAAGTAGAAACAGGAAATCTGTAGGTTTAAAGAGCTTGGACTGGCACATACGCTCAAAGGTCCTTTCCAACTTGAACGTGCCATGACTCTGTGGGACCCCTTCACAGATGAAGTCAGGTCACAGTTACACCATTCCAGGGGTCCAGTTCTGGCTGGTGATGGAGCCTGGACTGTTTATTAGCCATGTCCTCATCCTAAGTATACTTACAAACACTTAGAACCAAAGGAGCATATGGTCAGCAAGGAAAGATGAACGACACATTTCACCTCATGTGAGGTATTGTACTTAGTTTATATCATAAACAGATAAACTGGCCTCAAGTTTAAAAAAATGACTTTGAGCCCTGCCGGCGTGGCTCAGTGGTTGAGCGTCGACCTATGAACCAGTAGGTCACGGTTCGATTCCCGGTCAGTGCACGTGCCGGGGTTGTGGGCTCCATCCCCAGTCCGGGGCATGATTCCCTCTCATCATTGACGTTTCTATCTATCTCTCCTTCTCCCCTCCTCTCTGAAATCAATTTTAAAAAAATTTTTTTAAACGACGTTGAATCTACAAATTCCTTAAGCTGTCATTAAGTACTTCAACTATAAAATTGCGCAATATTCTGAATATACATAGTATTTGATTTCATGAACTCTCTAAACAAGCCAAAGAAATGATCACAGTAACTTAAAAAGAGGACAAACATCTTTGGAGTTGGAAGGACTTTCAAAATTCAGAAAACAGGTTTCATAACAAATTATTGCTGTTGTCTAGTTGTCCCAGCATTGGGTCTTGTAAGCAAAACAAACAAGTCCATAGTTTAAGGAGGGCCAATGACGAAGCTTGGTGTTTCTTTATTTTGACAACTTTATTCCTATCACTAAAAGAGATCACAAAAAGATGTCTAAAGGTATTTATTGTATAATATGTTAGTGTTCTTTAATCTGGGAAAGACCTCAAATTAGATAAACAAAAAACTGCTGCCTTCAAGGGAAAAGATGGATAATTCTAAGTAGCAGGTAAATACTGAGTTGTTTTTCAATCATGCTTTTGAATTTATGCTCATCCATCTATATGCCAGCATAACCAATGGTACTGACCATTTACAACCATTCAGGGGCACAATCTATGGCTGTGATGCAGACCAAGGCTTGCTGATCCATACCACACTATCTTGGCTACACTAGAGGCCAGAGCTGCTGTGCTAAGGGACCTTGAATAAAATACTGAAATCTCCCAGGCCCTCAGTTTCCTGTTTTCTTCATCTGTGGAATGGGATTAACAATCTCACATAGTGTGTGTTTACAAAATCAAACTAAAAATATAGTTAAACATATGTGAAAGAACTTTGTAAATTATAAAGTTATAATACCTCACTTAACCAGCTGAATTGGCAAAAGACGATATCTCTGATATAACAAAACTACTCCCTGAGGATATATGAGTACATATATAATGTCACAAAAACTGTTAATGAAATACTTATAATACACAATAGTTATTAAATTAAAAAGAGAAGTCATGTAAAGCACTATAAATTATAGACAGATAGGATGCTTTAGTATTACAGCAGTTAGAATGGTATATTATTTAAACCTCATGCTGGAAATCACATAGGTGATTCTTTTAATGCCAAGTCTATACAGACCCTTATCTCCCTTCAGGACCAAGGCTTGTTAACCATTAACTAGGTGCAAGTAAAAGTTCACTTCCCCAATACTTCAATGAAAACACTTTTAACTTGTATGCATTTCCATCTAAAATGCCCAGATCAACACAGCCCTCCAGCTACAGTCATCTATTCTAATTTACCTAAAAAGAGTGAAATGAAATGGGGAAAAAACACACCATTATCCACAGCTTTCTTCCACCACAAAGAAAAAGCAGAATGAAACAACAAAATTAAATGCAAACAGTACTTTTCCGAACACAGAAAAAAATGTTCTTAAAAATCCCCTCAGTTTCCCAAACTCACAAATGCCAAAAGCAACAAAAATACCCTTTTCAAACAGGAGGATGACTGTGTCAAATAAAGCACAACCAAAACCCTTTGGTGGAATGCTTATATTAAAATAGCCTTCACACATTCATAACTGCACCAGTTTTAAAATTAAATTGGGCAATACAATATCCAAATATAATTTGGAATTGTCAGCGAAAATAAGGGTATGAGAAATACACTAAATATTTTTGTCTCTTGGAGACTTACCAACATTCCTGCAGCAGGAATGCCTGCAAATGTAATGAAATAAAATCTTTGAAAACTGTGACTATATTTTAATTTAAAACAGTTTTAACTGATGTCAATCTCTCTCTTAAATTCTTATTTTAAACAAGTACACTTGCCCTATAGTTTCTCTAATAGACCTAATATTCCCTTGCAACAAAATCAGACTACTGTGGGGTATAGGTAATCTTTTCTTTTTTAAAGATTACATAACTTCTTTCTAAAAGCCGTCGATGTCTGAGGCGAAATCCAAACCAATGCAACTGAAAACGAAAACGGAACTGCTAGATATCCATTTTTAACAAGAACAGAAATTATTCTTACTTTTCAGAGAGCCATTATGTCAGGAATAACTTTCTCAATAAATGAATCAGTTATCAAAGAGCGAACACTTGACGTTAAGCTAAAGCAGAGCAGGGGGGGGGGGGGGGGGGGGCCTTTGAAAAAAAATTCCAGAAACGGCGGGAAAAGGGGAGATAAAAAAAAAAAAGGGGGGTTTTAAAAAACTAAATTTTCCTCCCCCCCTGGGACATATTTTTCCCGGGGTCAACGGGGGGGGTGTTGACTCAAAACCCCCCCGCCCTTTTGGCGGGTTTTTTTTTTCCAGGACCCAAAACCCCCCCAAAAGCTTTTACAGGGGCCTGGGGGTGGGTTGGGAAAAAGAACCCCCCACCCTAAAAACCTCTGTCTTAAAAAGCTGGTATATATTTTTCTCAAATATTCTCCACAAAGGCAACACCGATAAGAGAAAGCCGGGGGGGGGCGGGTTCCGACCGCGCCCCGCCCACCCCG